CCACCCCAAGAAGCTCTGCCGTCAGCAGCCTGCTTGCATCCGTACCCCAGCTTTTGGTCCGAGTCAAGCTCCCTACCTGTGGCATCCAGCTGCTGGCTTCCTACCTGGTGGGCGCCGAACCTCTTGCGCAGCGATTGCCACGCTACCCGCGGTTCAGCTCCGGGGGCCTTCACCACGAAGGTCACCTGCGCTTTCGCTCGGCGAGTCCTCCTGGGCATAATACCTGCCGACCCTGGTTGGCCAGGGCGCAGGCCTTCCTGTGGCATCCGAAGCCCGCGCCATCAGAGCGGCGGTCAACGCTCCCAATGTCGGCACTCCCGACACGACACTCTGGGGGGCCAGCAAGGCATTCGGACGCAGGTCGTCGGGCCTTCCAAGCGGAGCGGTGCGAGGCGCCCCCCCCTTTGGACAACCCTCCCGCAGGATGCCAAAGATGGGACGCCCCCTAGCGCACGCTCTCCCATGGTCCCGATGGGTTGAGGCGCGGGGGGGAGGGGGGGGGGGTTCGGCCCAGCCGTGGGGCGGGCCCAGGAGCGGACCCGTTGCGCCGCTTACTCCCCTCCTCCTCCCTCCCTCCCTCCCCCTCCCTCCTCCTTTCCTTCCCTCCTCCTCCTCCCTCCTCATCCTCCTCTCCTCCTCCTCCTCCTCCTCCTCCTCCTCCTCCTCCTCCTCCTCCTCCTCCTCCTCCTCCTCTTCCTTCTCCTCCTCCTTCCGTAGCCATTTTGGCTCAAGCTGGCCGCGGGGCTGGGTCGGCGCGCGTCCCGTTCGCGCGTTACCTGGGCCTGGCATGGCGACGGTCGACGGCCGCTCCCGCATGGAGGCTCTGGCACCGCTGGTTCGCGCGGCTGTCGCTGGAGCCGCCGAGGGCGGCGGAGGGCGCCACCTCGTGGCGGCGGCGGTGGCGGCGGCGATCCGCACGGGCGCGTCCCTGCTCGAGGCGCCGCTGGAGACCGCCGTGGACAAGGAGGTCGCGGTGCGCGAGGCGTTGGCACGCCCGCACCTCCGTATCCAGGTGGCGGCTGGGCTCGAGGGCTCCGAGCCCCGAGCCTCGGGGGCGTGCAAGGCCAACCGCAACTGGGCCTTGCACAACGACTTCGGAAAAAAAAAGGCGCTGATGCAGCGCCTGACTCACCGCAGGAGGCCAAGCGCAGGGCCCGCGGCCCGCGCAAGAGAGGCCGCCGCGGGGCTGGTTCTGCGTTGTCCACCGTCTCGTCGGAGAAGGTCGGGACCTCGGACACGGCGGACGAGCTGTCGGAGCAGGCCAACGCTGTCTCGACGGGGGCCGTCAAGGACAGCGACGTGGGCGACGACATGACCCTCGGGCACGTGGAGGTGGAGCTCTGCACGGAGAAGGTCTTCGTGGGCCTCAACACGACAAGCTAGCAGGAGCTCTTCGACCGCCTCCCGATTGAGCCCGATGCGAAGCTGGAGAAAGCTCTCAGCCTGGAGAAGACCCTGACGGAGGACGAACTCGCCTTGGTGGAGACGGCCATGCAGATGGCGCTCGAATGCGATTGGGAGTGCACGGGCAAGCTGCGGGACCAGTTCGTGGCCAAGGTGCTCCAGGATCGTTCGAGTTAGGTTACGTTGAGTTCGTAAACATTCATTCGGTCAGCAAGTGCACGTTGATCAACCAGTTTTTCTCCGACCTCCAGGTCGGGGACTCTTGAGTGCCTCGCACTCCTTGTCCCCTCAGGTGTGAGGCGGCCCGCCGACGGCCGCAGTTCCTTTTTTAAAAATTGACCACTGGTCATCTGAGCGTCCTCCTCCTCCTCCTCCTCCTCCTCCTCCTCCTCCTCAGCCTCCCCTCCCCCCTCCTCTCCTCCTCCTCCTCTCCTCCTCCTCCTCCTACCTCCTCCTCCTCCTCCTCCTCCTCCTGCCTCCTCCTCCTCCTCCTCCCCCTCCTCCTCTCCTCCCTCCCTCTCCCCTTCCTCCTCGCCCCTCACCCCTCCTCCTCCCTCCCCCCTCCTCCCCCCCTCCCATCCCCCCTCTCCCTCCTCCCTCTCCCTCTCCTCCCCCCCCCCCCCTCCTCCCCCTCCCCCCCTCCTCCCTTGGGCCTTCGTCGCAGGGCTCGCCCCCGAGAGAGACGCCAGCGAGCTGGCCGAGCCAGAGAGTGCAGCCCTGTTCCCGGCGACCCCCATCCTCAGTCGCGGGGGCCCGTATGGCCAGCCGCGTCGATGCCTGCCTCGCGGTCGCCGGGCATTTTGCGCGTCGTGCCCACGCCCAGCCCGGCTCCCAGCAGGAGCTGGGCACGCAGCCTGTCGCTCGCGGGAACCCGCCCCAGAGATCCGGCGTCGTGTTTTTTTTTTTTTTTTTCGATGCGGGGTCCCCAGAAGTCCCAGAGATCCATCGCATTGAAAAAACAAGGCCCCGGGACGGTCGAAAAACGACTCAGGATTTAAATCCAGTTCTGGAGAATGGGTCGAGACTTCCAGGGACCCCGTAGGGAAGAAAACACGACATCGGATCTCTGGGTCTCGACCCGCTCCCCAGGACCGGCGTTTCATCCTGAGTCGTTTTGTCGACGTCCCCCTCTATCGTTGCCCCTCAGGGCCTTGAAGCGCTTGCCTTTGAGCGTTCGAAGCCATGGCGTGTTGTGCTTGGCCAGCTTGCGGCGATATAAGCGGCCATCGCGGCGGGCGGAGGCAGCCCTAGCCTGCTTGAGAGCCGCGCCCGCCAGTCGGACCCTGGTTGCCCATGTGGCCGAAAGAAAGGAAGGACGGAATGCCAAGAAGTGGCCGGGCGCGAGAGAGCCTGTGATGAACATTAAAGAAGTGGTTGGCCTCGGCGGGGACCGCGCGCGTGAGGAGAGGCGGGTGCACTCGAGGAGTGGCTGGGGGCGTGGGGGGGGAATGGGGGATGTGTTGGGGGCAGTGGCGAGATGTACAGTCAGGGCGCTGGAATAGAGAGACCACTTCGGGCTCAGGAGGGGCTCGGGGTGCC